GTTTATTTATATAGAGTTGTCTGTAGTAATCTCTAATGGTAGTTTGTATTTCTGGGGAATCAGTGGTGATATCCCTTTTATCATTTTTTATTGCGTCTATTTGATTCTTCTCTCTTATCTTTTTTATTAATCTGGCTAGGAGTCAGTTTATTTTGTTGATCTTTTCAAAAAACCAGCTCTTGGATTTATGGATTTTTTGAAGAGTTTTTTTTTAATATCTCTATGTACTTCAGTTCTGCTCTGATCTTAGTTATTTCTTGTCTTCTGCTAGCTTTTGAGTTTTTTGATCTTGCTCTTCTAGTTCTTTCAATTTTGATAATAGGGTGTTGATTTTAGATCTTTCTTTCTTTCTCATGTGGGCATTTATTGCTATAAATTTCCCTCTAGACACTACTTTACATGTGTCCCAGTGATTCCAGTATTTTGTGTCTTCGTTCTTGTTGGTTTCGAAGAACATCTTTATTTCTGCAACACCTGGGTCTGTTGGGGGTGGGCTAGGAGAGGGATAGCAGGGGGTGGGGCATTGGGGAGGGATAACATTAGGAGAAATACCTCATGTAAGTGATGGGAGGATAGATGGATGTAGCAAACCACCACGGTTATGTGTATACCTATGTAACAATCCTGCACAATCTGCACATGTACCCCAGAACTTAAAGCACAATAACAAAAAAATAAAAATTAATAAAACATATGAAAATTACACTATAAAATAATTGATCTAAAATATATAAAGAACTCTGATAACTCAATAATAAGAAGTCAAGGAACCCATTTGAAAAATGGACAGAATAATTTAAGAGATACTTTAGGGAAGAATGGTACCAAAAGCAAATGAGCACATGGTAATGGGAGGTACATTCATGAGAAGATACTCAATACCACTTAATATTAGATACATGCAAATTAAAGCCACAATAAGGTATCACTGCAAGCCCAATAAAATAGCTAAAAAAAATGCTGATAATAATAAGTTCTGACAAGAATGTAAACAGCAACTCTCATGGATTGCTAGTTGTACAACCACTTTCAAAAACATGTTGTAGCTTCTTATAAACATACACTAACCATGGAACCCAGCAATCTCCCTCCTAGGTATTTCCCCAAGGTAACCAGAAATAAAATTGTGATAGAAAGCCAATTAGGCATCAAGCATCTGGGGAGGGAATTGCTGCAAAAAGACATGATGCACCATTTGGGGGTGACAGAAGTGTTCTATATCATGACTTTGGGGGGAGGATCCACAACTTTATACAACTGTCAAAATTTGTAGACCTGTACATTGAAAATTGTGGAATCTTATTCTACATAAATGTTATCATAATAAAGCTGATCACATATTTTATTGCCCAAGATGTAGCAGGAATTGTATCTACTACTTTTATCTTCCCAACCCTGTTTTTAGAATAGAGCTAAATTTGGAGACTCTATGTAGAAGTGTAACAGAGGCTAGAGCTCTTTGATATATCTACTAAAGCCTTTGGTAGCACATTTCCCAGAATTTGAGACGGCAAATGACTTCAGTTCAAGAAACATTTTGAAGCATGGGTAATTCCAATTCTTTACTTTCAAGAAAGCTGAAAGAGGATCCCATCAAGTTGTTAATCCTTATATTTTAAAAAAGTTTTGATGATAGACCACTAAGTGATTATTGTTTTCACATGTAACTTGGAAATTTGAGGGACAATGTATACCAAAAATCCTCTCATTACCATTTTCCTCTTTATGTAAAAACGGTTTATAAGCACTTAAATCCATAAAATAGAGGCACGAAATAGTTGCTGAACTCTGTCTTAGTCTAACAATAACAGGGTAGTGTGTATTGCATTCCAGGCTTTTGTCTAACTACATAATATTTATCCAAAAATACACACAGTGTCAAAACTTTCATAAATACATTACATTAGAATAAAATTATATAATGGAAAATAGATTCACATTCATTCTAGTCAAAAGAAAAACAATGTAAAATTCTGAAAAATAAAGGCAAGCTTCTCATTTTTAAAAAATAGGTAATAAGTATCACATCTATCAGGTACGTAGATTTCATTGGATGTATTTAAAAGTGACGTATCCATCCCCTATCCGCCTACCCCCTGTTATCCCTCCCCTAGACCCCCACCCCGTGACAGGCACCGGTATGTGATGTTACTCTCCCTGTGTCCACATGTTCTCATTGTTCAACACCCACTTATGAGTGAGAACATGCGGTGTCTGGTTTTCTGTTCTTGCATCAGTTTGCTGAGAATGATGGTTTCCAGCTTCATCCGTGTCCCTGCAAAGGACATGAATTCATTCTTTTTTATGGCTGCATAATATTTCATGGCATATATGTGCCACATTTCTTTATCCAATCTATCGTTGATGGACATTTGGGTTGGTTCCGAGTCTTTGCTATTGTGAACAGTGTCACAATAAACATATGTGTGCGTGTGTCTTTATAATAGAATGATTTATAATCCTTTGGGTATATATCCAGTAATGGGATTGCTGGTTCAAATGGTATTTCTATTTTTAGATCCTTGAGGAATTGCCACATTGTCTTCTAAGTACAAATATTCTAACACAGACCCAAATACTTCATGTCTAAATCATTAAATACATATTCATACAATTGGGAAAGATAAGCTTTTCTCAGATATCAATATTTGAAATTGTTTGCTTGGTGTTAAAAAGTGTTCCTACCTTTGACCAATGCACCATAGTAAGATTAGGGCTAAGAATAAGGCCTGGCCATGAAAGAGGAGGTGGGAACAGGACAACCCAAACACTGGGCATTTCAGGGAGGGCAGTTTGGGGAAGGCATCCGTCTGGAGGTTGATGAAATGGAAACTTACTCCCATCCATGCCTGCATACCCTTTGAACAATTTCGTGAACTCTCAGGGATAACCACAGCACAGTTTGAAGACTGTTGTTCTATACTTATGTGGCTTTTGACAAGGTGAAGGATTGAGAAGCAATGGGATACCAAATATTTCAAGGAGATAAATTGTTTCCTGCTGGAAGAGAGTGAGAGTTTCCTAGATGGAAAAGAAAATGATATCTTTGAGGAGGAGTCAAATGAGGTTGATAACCTGAATTTCCTCAAGTCTCATGTATGACAGATTTTAATGTAAGAGCTCTATAATTCTTTCTGTGTGTATGTATATATGATATATAGGATATATATATATATAAAATATATATTATCTACTACCATTTTGTGGGAGGTGAAAGCTTCATGAAATACTTTTATTATTTTAAAAAGACTATCATTGTGTATGTGTGTATATGCACACACACATACATATACATATTCATATACATATACACTATATGTGCAAACATCACCATTTTGTAGAAGATGGTGGCTTTATTTATAAGTTCATGAAATACTTTTATTATTATTTTAAATCAGTTATCATTGTCAAACTATTTTTAAGAGTCATTAATTAATGTTCCCCCTGTCTGATTTTCTAGAGGCAAATCCCAGTTAGTATCAGTGGGAGACCGAATTATGAGAGTGTTTAATTAAGAGTTTCTTTCAGGCACTTTCCAAAGAACAATTTAATATCTGAGAAACTACCTTATTTGTATCTCTAGAATTGAACAGTGAGAAAACCTTGACAGTAGTCACAAAGATTCAACTAGACCAAACTTTACAAAAATCATTTTAATTTATTTAAGTCTTTAAAATAAAATATTCATTTAATATGATACTCACAGAGGCAATAAAATACATAATTTAATCAACTTTTCAAATTCACTTAAAAATAGAGAGCTATCGTTTTAGAAAGCTCAGCTATTTTTCTTCCCACTAGCATGTTAGGGAAAAAGATACAAGTCACAAGATACCACATCATGTAAGAAAGCCAAGTTCTGTCTTGCTTACCTGTCTTGATCAACAGGGAGGAAAAACCTGCTTGCTGCAGCTGCTGGCATCTGGGGACTTGATTTTTGGTGTGTTGAAATTACAATATGAGTTCTTAGGGTCCCTTTAGTGCACCTGTCTGTTTTCTGATTGATGAGAAATGTGTAGGAGGTACTTAGCCACTAGAGTGAAAATCTTCCTTTTCCACAGTTGGGAGCATATTCTTTGACACTCTCTAAGAAGGAAATCTGTACCCCCTCTCCTCCACTATCTCTTAAGATTATTTAGTCCATTTTACTATTTGTCTAATGATGGAAAAATATGGAGACATTATTCAACTGTAAATGGAAACTTTGTATAAAAAGATAAATGCTATGAATTTTAAAAGCAGAATCCCTCATCCCTCTACTGGAAGAGCTAAGTTGAGTTCCTGTTCCCATAATGCTTTGGTGCACCAGCAGGATCTGAATTCAGAACATGCAAATGTAAAAAGTCCTTTCAGCCAAAACATTTGCAATGGACTCTATGAGGCAGTGAAAATATCCAGTGCACAATGGAACAAAATCTCTAAGGACTGGGTGGTTAAGATTGTGTATTCTGATTGCTGCAGAATGAGGGAAACGAAATTAAATTTGATCTTATGACCAGCTACTTCCCCTTGGAAGCCATAAACCCCTCCTGCCATATACCAGATACTCCTGGCTGTGTTTTGAATACTGCTTAATACTCATTTCCCGATCACTCCTGGACTTGATTCTTCTTATACTACTTACTCCTGCACATCTAATTGACTGTAGTTAAGCATTTCAACCGGGTTTCTGTTATTTGTGCTTTTCTATGTATTTTTTACTATCTCCCATTGAATTAATTCTTCCACTAGAGTCAAGGTATTTCTCCCAATACTTCTGTCTTTGCACCTCCTGCCAACTCCCTGACCATGATGTTTACTGTGGGTGGTGCCTGTGAACGGAATAGCTGTCATATTAGTCACATGGACCTGCTGCACACAGAAAAACCTGGAGGAAGTCCCTCTCCCAGGTTTGAAGAGCTCTTTGCCAAACACAAACCATTGAAAAGAATTATGTTTTTCCTTGAAAGATCTAGTGGGTATCACTGGACCCCTGAGGTAGAGCAACAGATGTGCAATATCCCTATTGAATTCACTTTGTAATAATTTCCTCTCATTTCTGCTTTTGAACTGTCAATGGAGAAGGCAATTTTTTAAAAAATACAGAAGTCAGATATTTCCCCATGTTATATTACAAAGTTATATAAATAAATAGGTTGCAAAGTTTTCAAATAATGATTAAAATGTCAGTGAAAGATGTTCATGGCAATTTTTACAATCATAAATACTGAAGAAAATCTTGACCACTATAATAATAATTCATTATATCTATTTTAACATATAGAAAGTCAAGTCCTCATCTCTGGGCTAGGAGATTCTGTGTAAGAATTAAGTTTTGGTGTTACAATGTTCTCATTCTCAGTGTTACCTATGTCAGGTTTAGTCTAAGAATATTTTGGAGGAATATTTCAATGACAATATGTGTATATGAGTATATATACATATACAAAGCATATATATATGAAGCAATATTTGTCCATTAGAGAATTGGACCACCAGTCACTTGGTATTGAAACCAATACATGAATTCAAATGAAATTCAAATTTTTACTTTAACTCTTTTTTGCCAGTTATCCTACCAAAACATAATTAAATATAGTTATGGTTTAAGAATGTAATTTAGAACTTGTCTTTTTTGTCCGTTTGGTATCTACTTTTCATCCAACTGAAATCCTCCATTCGTCTTATAAGACAGTGACTCAGGCTCTGTTTCATTTTCTTTGCTCTCTGGAAGTTCTTCCTTATTTTTCCCATGACATTTCTTATATGCCACATAAACTGGAAAACAATACACAGGTTGTCAAGCAAATTTTATAATAATAAACTGCAAAATTACTTTGTATAGAGATTATAACCTATGATTCACATGGCAGATCACATTTTCTGTAGACTGGAGCGGCTTAGAGAACGCAATCACCAATCACTCTTCTTAGTTCTATGGCTACTCATAGTCAGAGGGATGACTGCACTTCAGGAAGACCTAGCGTAAATCTTCAGGAGACATTTGCTCAGGGCAGCCACAAGCCTTCTTCAGGCATTCAGCCCTGCACGTGGTACTCAACAATGATGAGAACAATAGGAAGCATTGGTTCTGTACCACTCTATCCCAGTGAATGTGCTAGTCCTCAGTAAATACACACATGGTGCAGTGCAAGCTCCAGGACCTTGGTTCAATGGTCCTTCAAGTCCATAGAAAGACTTGAACTGGAACAACATTCCCATTCCCTCCCTGTCTTCATTCGGTCTTTTCCCCAGAGAAAAGAGACTCGGCTGATGGGTGATCAGCTTTCTTTTCTGTGGAGCTGCTGGTCTCTGGTAGCAAGCATTTCTCAGCTTATTTTTAAGGTCAGCTCACCATGATAGGCTCTGTCCTGCAAGGCAAGACCTGCAGTGTATATGTGTGTGTGAGTACATGTCTGCACATGTGTGAGTACACATCTGCATATGTGTGAGGCCATGGAGGAAAGAGTGTATCCATAAGCCCATTTGGTTGTGGATTCAAGCCATGTTTTCCATTTAACTTTTATCCATAGCAAAAGCGCTATTTTGTTATCTGAATATCTGATTTTTCTTCTACTTCTCAATTGGTCACAAAGGCAAGAGGAGGGCAGGAAATACTACTTTTAGGACCCTCCCCTCAAATTTTAATACCTCACATATAAAATGGCCATAATAATATTATCTACCTCATAGGGCAATTGTGAACATTAAATGAGATAAAATTAAATGCCTAGCATGGTCTGTGAAGAATAGTAAATGTTCAATAAATGTTAAATTTCATTATGATACACAGCTAAGAGAGACAATGACTTGCCTCAAAGATCTTATTGACCCAAGATCAATATCTCCTTTAGATTGGTCCCTGAACTTCCAGTAATATATTATTTTTGAAGCCACTGAACCATGCTATTGAATTTAATTGAGCTTGTGGTCAATTTGAAGATCCACCACTTACTATAAACTGTTTTAAGCTGAGAGTCCCTCAGCTTAAACTTATGCCAATAATTTTATTTAACCAAACCATACCTCTTATTTATCCCTTTTTCTTCCTCTCCCTTCTTTTCCTCCTTCCCTCTCTCCCTCCCATCTTTCCTTTTTTCCTTTACTTTCTTTCCTTCCTCTCCTTTTTCCAAAATATATTTAGAATCCCACTTTTATCACCAAAATATTGCGTCCAGGCATTGTATACACTCAACAAAGATTCCTTTCTTATTTTTATACTTACTGGTATAACTGTGGGAAAGTTCCAGACCAATTTGAATGCTCCCCTTTCCTCATTCCTTCAACTTGACTTTTTATTAATTAATCTCCTTGGGGTTAGTTTTCAACTAGTGCATTTACTTAATTGTTCTGTCAACCAGTCCACTTTCTCTGGCTTGTCTAGTAGACATCATTAAGTAATTATTTGGAGAGATCCCACTGTGTACCAAATTAGGTAGAGCTCTGTACAATCAAACAAGGATCACTATACAGGAAACAAAGTAATTAGGCATGGGCTCCTGCTTCCTGTAGCAGAAGTAAATCCATGGGATGTTTTCAGTGGATCCAGAGTATTCTATTCTAGAAAGGAAGCCTCTGCTTTGAGAATGACATTCAGGACAGGAGTGCAGAAGAGATTCGCATTCAAGGACAAGTTGAAGACCTGATGAAGCTAAGTAGAAGAGCAAAGCAAAACCAAACAAAACCAAACTGTGTCTCTGGACATTTTGTGACTTAATTTTTACATTATTTTTGTTGTATGCCTTCACTTTATATTCCCCATTAGAATGTCATGAGGCTTTAAAAACTAGCTTTTTTATTTACAAAATTAGAGTGTAAAAATAGAGGTTAAATATTATCAATCCTTGGAAAGGAAAATGTAGAAAGAATTTTCAACTAGGTGAAGGCCAGTGTGGGTGGTGGGGCCTGAAGGGAGACACTGGGAGAAGTAAGCATTACTTAAATTACACCTAGCACTTTACATAAAGAACATTTTGCTTCAGCCACTTCAATTATATGGGTATTTAAAAATATATACACATATATATATACACATATGCACACACACATCTGCCTTGTGTTAGCCCGGTAAATTTTCTTTGTATACCAGTTTTCTGATAAATATCCTATATCTATAAAGCGTATCAAGACAATGTTTTGAAAAAGATTGCCAAATCCTGAGTTCCTGGGCGAATGCCCAAAACACACAGCCTAATGCTCCCAACAAGTTCCTCTGCCTTCCTAATTACTGAGGAAAAGAAAGTCAATGGAGAGAATTGGCATCCATTACTTTTCACTTAAAAACAATATTTGCTAGAATCTTTTGGTAAAACTACAATCTTTTCATCACAACTGAAAGTCATGATAATATCATGGTGGCTTTTTCCTCTCATATATTTGTACAATTCACCACCAGGAACAGGGAGTTTTAAAAAAATGCTATTTTAGTAACTCCAGGATTTTTCAAAGAAAATCATCATAAAATGGGATCGGCATGATTTCTTACCTCCTACAAATATTGCGGCAAAGGCGAGCTGGAAAATGCTGTAGATGAGGGGGAAGGTGAAGACGACATTGAGCTCCTCAGGAGTGAAGGAGAGCTGAACGATGGTGGAACACAGCTGCGTGTTCTGCATCCCCGTTTCAAAAGCAACCGTTCGGCACCTAAAGAAGATGTTAAGAGAGTGTATGCTTTAGTTGTTGTTTTGTTTTTGTGTAACATTAAAAGCAGATATAATAATAAGTACATATATATGCATTTTGTCTCTGCTTTTAATGCACATATTTAAGACAGGATTATTCAATATACAACTTTCTATGGAATAAATATACTTATTAATGTATATTATATATAATATCACCTATTGTAGTTAATATAAATAAATATATTTAATATGTACATATGAAGAGATAGCTCATTTACCACAGTGCTCAGGAGTGGCCAAGAGGGTTCATTTCATTCTTTTCAATCCTGACCTTGATAACAGTGTAGAGTACAAATCGGTCAGGGGCTCAGAAAATCCTCAACATACGGTATTTGTTGTGGCTGTTTCATTGTTTAATTTGTTTTATTTAGGCTGGGATAAACAGGTGTCCCACACCTGTAATCCCAGCACTTTGGGAGGCTGACGTATGAGGATTTCTTAAGCCCAGGAGTCCAGGAGTTCCAGACAAGTCTGGACAACATAATAATGAGACCCTGTTTCTAAAACAAAACAAAAATTAGCCAGGCAAGGTGGTGTGTGCCTGTGTCTCCCAGCTTCTTTGGAGGCTGAGGCAGGAGGATCACTTGAGCCCAGGAGTTTGAGGATTCACTAAGCTGTGATTGTGCCACTGGGCTCCAGCCTGGGCAACAGAGTGAGACCCTGTCTCAACAAACAATTGTTTTTTTTAAAATCTTGACAAAAAGTCTATAAGGTAGAAACTATTGTCCCCATTCTACAGATGATAAAACTCAGAGAAAGAGAAAGCGCTAGGCCTGAGGTCCTCTGGGTGGTGTGTGGTAGGATTGGAAGGCAATCCCAGGTCTGCCTGACTCAAATACTGTGCTCTTCCTGCTGCCCAATGCCACTTCTCTCTTTCCCAGCCTCACACATGCATCTGTCTCTACACCTGTGTTCTCTCTGCCAGTCTATTAGATGGATTAGTCAAAAAGAATCATTTCTACCCAGTACGAAATCTAGATGTGCCAAACCCATTCTAATATTCGGCCCCTTTGGAGGATGAGCTCACCCTGCTGCCAGCTAGAGGAACACCTGTCTATTTCACGGCGCCCAACTGCCTTCATTAATGTTACTCCACTCAGAGAATAAGAATGCCTTGCAATGGAAGAGCCCCATCTGCACTGTAAGGGGAATGGTCCAGAAGACTGAGCAAAAAAGAGGCGGTCAGTATTTTCTTCCTGGGGACTTGCATGACTTCGGAATCAATGGGTCAATTTAGAATGACATATTCAGAAATAGGATGAATGTGATGAGAAGCGAAGGATTTTCCTCTTGTCTTTGGTGTTTGCAGCTGTTATGGGTTGATTATATCACCCTCTCCCACAGATACATATGTTGAAGTCCTAACACTCCACACCTCAGGATGTGACCTTATGTGGAAACAGGGTCATTGCAGATACAATGAGTTAAGATGGGGGGTCCTCATCCAATATGACTGGTGTCCTTATCAGAAGGGAAGTCTGGCCTCAGAGACGTGCTCTGAAGGAAGACATAGGAAGAAGACAGCTGTCTGCAAGCCATAAGGGAGAAAGATAAGGGATCCCTCCATCATAGCCCTAGGAAAGAAGCAATCCGGTGACACCTTCATTTTGACTTCTAGTCTCCAAAATTGTGAGACAATAAGAGTCTGTTATTTAAGCTACTCAGTTTGTGGTTCTATCTTATGGCAACTCTAGCAAAGGAATACAACAGCTATTACAGATGAAAATTCCCAATGGGATTTACTAAAACGCCATACCTGTGCCAGGGTTGACCAGCGATTCTAGCCAGAAGAAACCCCAGGGTGTAACCTGCCACAGGAAATATTGTCCCTATAATCCACAGATTAGGATGGATGATCCAGGCGCTTTGGTACAGTATGCCTCCAACCACAGCTATGAGCACGATGAGGATGGCGCCCGCGATGGACCCAATCTGGAGTAAAAGGAAGAAGTGAACCCAGCAATCAGAGTCAAAGCAAATCCAAGTATTTTTGTGAGAGACAAAACCTCAGCAGTCTCCTTGTCCTTGGGGGAAGTGATGATAAAGTTATCTTTCTATGTACTTCTAGCCAGGAGGCTGCAATCAGCCCACTGGAAATACTGGCGCTTGTCTCGTGCTTTAAGCTTTAAGAACACAACAGGACATGTAACATCCATTTGCAATTAGCCTGAAGACTTTTTAGCTTGCAAATTATCCCTGTTAGAAAAAAAGACAACCCATTTCAGCGACAGCCTGGAATTCTTGGCTTCTAGATTCAATTACTCCTATTCTGTTTCCTTTAGTAAGTCATGAACTTTATAAAGTGTAGTTTCTTCATTTGTAATTGGGGATAAAATCTCACCCCAGTTACTTTTTATGATTATTATGATAATGAGAAAATGGATCTAAAACTCTATACAAGTTTTAAAAAGATATAAGCAAATAAAAACCACTGTTGTTATTTTTTTCTTCTTTTCACATTTAAAACAAGATTTGGAGATTATAAACTTTTTTGTCAAGAGAAGCAAGGAATACGATGGACTTGCTTTGCTCCTGAGCAGCAGAATCTATCTATATTATCTGCATTCATATCCATATCATATAGCTAGAATACAGTTGGTAAAGGGGAGCGAATGGTTGCTTTATGAATCTACTGATTGCCTGGCAATGAAATGGCCCAATGGATACCGACACAAAAAATAATATGTTCTGTTTTCTAAGAAAGCCATTTATATGTGTTGTATAACACAAACTCACATAACAAAGATAGCAGTAATACGTGGTGAGAATAGAATAGAGCAAAACCAAGAGGTGATATTTCAGTTGAGTGTCTTAAACATGGGTAGAAATTTTTCCTGTGACTGCAATAAAGAAGGGCACGCTAGGCTGGGCACGATATCTCATTCCTGTAATCCCAGCACTTTGGGAGGATCACTTGAGCACAGGTGTGCAAGAACAGCCTTGGCAGGATAGTGAGATCCCATCTCTCTCTCTCTCTCTATGCACAGATAAAGAAGGGCATTCTAAAAGAGGGGACTGAATGGCTGATGACTTCAGACCCCCACTTGACAGTAATCATAAAATAAGAATAAAACCATTTCATGGATGGAAAACCCTATTGTTTTGATTGTCACGGCGGAACATTTAATGGTGTGGATTGGGATACTTACTTTAAGTATGATCTTTGCTTTTTGGGGCCATTTGTGATTAACAAACATTCCAATGGAAACAGGAACAACAAGAGCAACCAGAGAGGTACCTAAAGACGACAGAAGGGCAATGGGATCAGCAGAAGAGGTGACACAGGAAAGAGACAAACAGAAGAGTAAGCAGCCTAAAAAAGGCTTACATAGTATTTCAGTCTTCCTTCCGGAATACACAAAACAGAATACAGAATTACACACACACACACACACACACACACACACACACACACCCACAGTCTCTCTCTCTCTCTCTCTCCTTCCTCACTCACTCCAGTAAATAATTTAATATTATTGGTGGATAATTGATAATATCAATGCTGTAAATTCTTTCACTAAATTCTGAATTAATTTTTCAGAGTTTCTTATATTTTCCATATACATTAATTTCAATTTGTCAGAATCTTGGCTTCCTTGGTCTTTATATCTCTAGGAAAAATGCCTCAACAAGGGGTGTGTGTGTGTGTGTGTGTGTGTGTGTGTGTGTATGTGATAAAAAGACAATATTTTACATTCGTTAATGATAGTAGAAATAAAAAATAATTTAAAAAGATTTTATAATGATGGAAAATGCCCCAAATTAGCTCAAGATCACCAGGTATTCTGACATCTCATGACTTCTAGTTAAACCTAGTTTTAGTTATTCAAATTTACAGCAGAGAGGTGAGAACATAGGTTGAGAAAGTGTGCTTTAAATTTTCCATGAGATAATGTATTTGACGACCTCTCATGTAATTATAGTTCTTTGCCATAACATGCTCACCCAGCCAGATAAAAGATCCATTGTTCAGTTTCACCATGTTAAATTTACTGCTGTTCTTGAGACATATGGTTTGTTTCTCCACGTTATTTAACACTATTTGTCCAATAGCTGATTTCAAGTAATTTAGCGCCAACAACTTCTAACTTTTCCTAGGTTGTGTCTTTTTCAAACATCCTTTTAAAGCAGTGTAAGAAAGTGATATTGAACAGTGAAATTCTGTTGCTTAGTTGTTGCTTAGTATTGACTGAACTAGGTAGATTTAACTTGGACTGGAAAACGGATTCTAAAATCCAAGGCTATAGATATTAATTGAAGTGAATGCACTAATGATGAAAACTTAATTTCCTTGTAGTCTTCTAGCCTTCGTGGCGATATAAGGGTCAGTGATGACTTTTGCCCAGAAATTACTTGACAGAATTAAGTAATGACTAAAGATACTAAGAGTAGGAAAAAAAGATGGATGAAGGGGAGTAAGAAGGGAATAATGGAAAAAAGGATGTGAAAGAGTGGCATTGACACATGTACTGCTGAGATCCCCCAGAAAATCCCCCTGGGGTATCTTTGCACCCTGCTGCTTTGGGAGTGATATGATTGGGCTCTGTGTCCCTACCCATATCTCACGTTGAATTATAATCCCCAGTTGGAGGATTACAATTAGAGGAGGGGTCTGTTGGAGGAGGGGCCTGGTGGGAGGTGATTGAATTGCGGGGGCAGGCTTCCCCCTTGTTGTTCTTGTGATAGTGAGTTCTCATGATATCTTGTTGTCTATAGGTGTGCAGCACCTCCCTCTTCGCTCTCTTTCTCCTGCTGCAGCCACGTAGGAAGTGACTGCTTTCCTTTTCCCTTCTACCATGATTGTAAGATTCCTGAGGCCTCCCCAGCCATGCTTCCTGTACAGTTTGTGGAACTGTGAGCCAATTAAATTTTTCTTTATAAATTATCCAGTCTCAGGTAATTCTTTATAGCATTGTGAGAACAGATGAATATAGGAGGAAAACACCTTCTCCTGGGTCTTTAGACCATTGCCTAAATTTTTGAAGTTTATAGGTCTTAAATTTAAACCATCTGGGTATACAACTTGTTAGTGATGTGGTAGCTTAAATCTAGGTGCAAGTCCTGTGTTTGGAATGTTAGCATGGTTAGTTAGGTTTTGGTCCTATATTTTAATGTGCTGAATCTGGCCCTTCCTGCTAAGAGTTTTCATCTCTTCAGGGCACCCAAGCCAACACAATAAACACATAAGCAGCATCACTTGCCGAAATCTATGACAGAATTGCTTTTCCTTTCCTGACCAGATGAGGCTAGATGAAGTTTTTTAGGGACTTGAGGCACTTTGTGTTTTTCTTTACACCCCCAGTGTGTGGCTCCTGCTTGTAGAGGATGTTGTATCTCTTTGGTCTCCAGTGGGCTGGTGATCTTTCTCTTTTCTTTCCCCAGGCTCTGTTTGTTTTACATATTCCTCACATGCCCATGCTCTCTCTGTGAAGTGCCTGTCTATGTGGATGAAAAAGCATCCACTCACAGTTTCACCTTGAATCCGTAACTTGGTCTTTAATCAAGTTTACACAGTAGGTATCAGAGGAAAGAAAGGTAGAAAGAAGAATAAGAATGAAAGAGAGTGATGAATGGGTTCATGTGGTGGGACTGGGAGCCAAATAGATTTGGAGCTGAACTTTCTGTATTCTCAAACTCTGGGAACTGTACAAATCATTGAATCCCTCCAAGCTTTGGTTTCCTCATTTGTAAAATGGATGGAGTTACGTCTGTTTCACAGTGCTGTTGTGAGAATTAAATGATGAAATGGATATAAACTTCTCGGCACAAGACACGAACAAAGGTGGTAGAGAGGAGTAGGTACTATAATTTGCAGCAGTGTTTTTTTTTTTTTAATGGTACCAGCTGCATGGTCTGCCTCCTCCCCATTCAGATGTCAGCATCTGACAGGGGTCAGAAGAATCTTGTATATCAAAAACTCATACTGAATAGGGCATGTCAAGGAGGAAGTTTTTTTCCCCTCTCTAATAGTAATGGTAAAAGTAGGACTAAAAACATTGTAATACAGATTATCTCCACTCAGTATTCACCAAGTTTATACTAATTCAGTTGTATATTTTCTCAATAATACGAATCACAGAAGCAGTCTTTCTGGAAATGGAAGGAATTTCAGTCCAGCTACCCATCCTGACAGGAGTCCCTCTTGCAAGCATCCATGTGGCTTACCATCTAGCCTTTGCTTTTATGCTTCCTTCAGTGGGAAACCCACACCTTTTTGAGGCAGCTCATTGAGATTTGTTTCCAAGGTCAGTGGGGAAAGAAATCCAACTATTTGGCATGTAGTGTACCTGGTGATTGATACTAATGTACTATTTTGCCTACATCTTGTCCTTTATTTGTGATAGTGCTGTGGGAAATGCTTACTCCTGGTATACCGGGAACTCTTTCATTCTCCCCTTGACTCTCATCCCTAAGTTACAACAGCAACTTAATCTCCCACTATAATTTGTTTATCCAAAAACAGAAAATAAGATTTTTGGGATGGGGGTGAAATGAGACAGGGTCATTACTAGTGAATTTGACTTCTGGAGCATGAGATACAGACATTGCCATTAAATCAATTTTTGCCTCAAGATGTGGCTCACAGGTGAGTGTTAGAAACGGTGTGTTTCACCTAGTAGTTTTCTGTTGTAATACTCCAGATTGCTGACTCAGTGCTCTATTTTGACACCACTACAGGATTTTAAAACATTTCTTCAGGCTGGGTGCGGTGGCTCATGCCTGTAATCCCACTTTGGGAGGCCAAGGTGGGCAGATCACTTGAGGTCAGGAGTTTGAGACCAGCCTGACAAAAATGGTGAAATCCTGTTTCTACTAAAATACAAAAATTAGTTGGGTGTGGTAGTGCATGCCTGTAATCTCAGCTACTAGAGAGGCTGAATCAGGAGAATTACTTGAACTCAAGGGGTGGAGGTTGTAGTTAGCTGAGATGACGCCACTGCACTCTAGCCTGGGTGTCAGAGTGAGACTCCATCTCAAAAAAAAAAAAAGTTTCTTGGAGTGTCTGGAGGCAAAATCCTGTGACCAAGAACTAGTGACACTCTGGGTTAAGGAATAGGTGGAGGCTCCCACATCCACAAAGCTTAAGCCTCCTCAGTCCAGACTGACAGGTGTGGGGAGGGGGCTCCTCTCCCTGGAGATTCAAATGGCATAAAAAGCAGTTTCTCCCATAAGGTCAAGGTTTGGAATTTACATTCTGCCAAGGCTCATCAAACACAGGGGTGACTTTATAACGAAATTGGGCAAAAAAACTGCTGCAAGGGAAATAATGGTTGGGTGTGAGCCTGGTCTGAGAGGTTAGCAGGGGTAAGCAGAGAATGTGATGAGGGTAACAGTCAACAGTCTTGCAGAGGGACGACTTACCTATGTTATCATAGGGAATTACGATGCTCCCAGAGTCAACCCACATTTTGGTATAGATAAGGAGGCACAGCGGCATCATTCCAAGGGCAAGCAGTGTGGAGCATGTGGTCATGCTGACGCTGAAAGGCAACAGGCAGGTTGATACATCCACCTGTGTGTTCTAGTGGAGACGCTGTTTATTTTTATTTTTTAATTTAACTTTTAAGTTTAGGGCTACATGTGCACATTTGTTATACAAGAAAACTTGTGTCGTGGTTTTTTTTTTTTTTGTCCAGATTATTTCGTCGCTTAGGTATTAAGCCTAGTACCCATTAGTTATGTTTCCTGCTCCTCTCCCTCCTCCCACCCTCCACCCTTCAATAGGCCCCAGTGTCTGTTGTTTCCCTCTATGTGTCCCTGTATTCTCATCATTTAGCTCCCACTTATAAGTGAGAAAATGCATTATTTGGTTCTCTGTCCTTGTGTTACTTTGCTAATGATAATGGCCTCCAGCTCCATCCATGTTCCTGCAAAGGACATGATCTCATCCATTTTATGGTTGCATAGTATTCCATGGTATGTATGTACCACATTTTCTTTACCCAGTTTACCACTGATGGGCATTTAGGTTGATATGATGTCTTTGCTGTTATGCATAGTGCTGCAATGGACATATATGTACATGTGTCTTTATAATAGAATGATTTGTATTCTTTTGGGTATATACCCAGTGATGGGATTGATGGGTTGCTTGGTATTTCTGCTTTTAGGTATTTGAGGAATTGCCACACTGCTTTCCACAACGGTTGAACTAATTTACACTCCCACCAACCGTATATAATTGTTCCTTTTTCTCTGTAACCTCACCAGCATCTGCTAATTTTTGTCTTTTTAATAAAAGCCATTCTGGCTGGTGTGATATGGCATCTCATTGTGGTTTTGGTTTGCATTTCTCTAATGGTTGGTGATGTTGAGCTTTTTTTGATTGTCGGCTGCATGTGTGACTTCTTTTGAAAAATGTCCGTTCCTGTCCTTTGCCCACTTTTTAATTGGTTTGTTTGTTGTTTTCTTGGAATCTAATTAAAGAGCTTCTGCATAGCAAAGAAACTATCAACAAACTATCAGATAACCCCCAGAATGGGAGAAAATTTTTATTTTCAATTCATGATTAGAAAGTCCTACAAGAACCTGTCTCAACCTATAGCATCATCTGGTGTGATGAATAGAAATATACACATGCCCGAGTGTGTTCAGGGCCTGACCTTGAGCAAAATAAGCCACATTTGGTATCTTTCCACTTTGCCTTGTGCCATCCTCCCCTCCCCTTTTGTTCTTACGGGTCAGAAGCAGTATTAAATGATGGAATAAAAATCATCATTAAACAATGTAAAGTTCCCTGGGTGTGCCATCCTTCAAACATTCCATTAAAGAACAGCAAATACATTTAGAGCAGCCAACACTACAAGGGCTGCATGTGTCTGACCATGCTGAGATGGGATGGGCCTCCCTGGGCCCCTGGAATAGAATGCATGTCTGAGGGAAGAGGCCTCAGTGTGTTGCCATGAAGCAAAAAAAATTACTGCCCAAGTGACCCTAGCTTGAGAAAAGAAGAGGAAGCAGACTTAAAAATCAAAAGAAAGCATGCGAGCAGCCAGGGTAGCCCTAAATCCTTAGGACTGAGCAAGCCACTGACAATTTAGCAAATGTGTGTTCAGAAGAACTGAGCACATAGTGTCTGGTATCATACCTGCTCAGAGCATTTGTATTTTAGTAAGTGGGTCTGGCTGAGTAGGCTTTCTACATGGAGAAGTTAGTACCAAATGATGCTAAATCTAGTACTAGGACAATGGGTCAAAGAGTGAGTCCTCCTGGTCCCCTTCGGAGTGATCTATACACTGTGTACATTCTCTGCCTTTAAAGCCTGAGCTCTAAAGCCACACACTATCTGGGCTGAAAGCAGTTGATGCCACTTAGTGTGTTAAAGTGTGTTAATCTGAGTAATTTAGTTGACTTCTCTTTACCAGTTTCTTTATCTAACATGGCTGTAAGGATAGAATGAGCCAACAGTGTCCAGCACTCAGAACAATGCAAAGCACTCTATTAAGAGCTGGTTGCTACCATCATTTTTAAAAATAGGATCTCTCTCTGTCACCCAGGCTAGAGTCACCATCTTGGCTCACTGAAGCCCGTGCTCAAGTGATCCTTGCACCTCAGTCTCCCGAGTAGCTGGGACTACAGGGACAAGCCACCATGCCTGGCTGGAACTACAGTCATGAGCCACCATGCCCAGCTAATTTTTAAATTTTTTGTAGAGATGCGGTTTCACCCTTTGCCCAGGCTGGTCTCAAATTCCTGGGCTTAAGCAATCCTCCCACCTCAGTTTCCCAAGGTGCTGGGATTATAGGCACTAGCCACCGCACCCTGCATCTCTTTGCTGTGATCACTTATGTAATCGTGTTTGTGTATTTTGCGTTCCACCAAATAGAATCAGGAAACTTAGAGAAATTTCTCTGAAAGGCCCTTCCCTCAATAGGTCATCATTGAAGTTGTCAAGAGTAGTAATTTCTTAAGTGTGTGATGTGTGTACCTGAAAGAAAATGCTAAACATTTATATTACCTGCCTCCCGAAACAACAACAATAACAACACACTATGCTAAGAAAGTAGCTGGCGGGACAGTACGGTGGCTCACGCCTGTAATCTCAGCACTTTGGGAGGCCAAGGCAGGTGGATCACCTGAGGTCAGGAGTTCGAGACCAGCCTGACCAATATGATGAAACCTCGTCTCTACTAAAAATACAAAAATTAGCCAGGCCCACCTACTTGGGAAGCTGAGGCAGGAGAATTGCTTGAACCCAAGAGGTGAAGGTTGCAGTGAACTGAGATGGTGCCATTGCATTCTAGCCTGGGCAACAGAGCGAGACTACATCCCACCACCAAAAAAAATAAAAAGATAGTAGTTGACAATGAGAAATTTTGTTTCAAGGCATGTAGATAAATTTGCACAGTTTAGCAAAATAAAGGCTGGGGGCAAAGTCTCTCAGGGAGCTTAATTTCCCTAATATTATATATATATATATATATATATATATATATATATATATATATATATATATACATATATATATATATATATATATATTTTAACCAGAATGGCCTCATTTAAAACAGGTTTAAATAGTTTAGATAAAAATATTTGTTTTAGCAGAGCTAAAATATTATGAAGGAACAAATGCTATGGATGTATTTAAAACTCTAAGCAGTTCAATCTATTCTGGTCATAGGTTAACTTAATTTAGATACAAAATAGATGCTAAGGCAGAATTCTACACAAGACAAATAAGTTAATTTGTTATTAATAGTGCTTTGTCCTACTTATAATGAAAGTACTGGAGTTTGAAGGTGATATTTTCTCTCTTCCTTCCTCCCCTTCTTTCAGTGTTCTCTCTTTTATCTTTCACTTTAAAAACTATATCAGAATGGACTTAAAATTGTCCCAATAATAAATTCACTTTTGTTTCTGTGCATCCAATATTTTTTTCTAGATTGTGGTGGAAGTCTCAGGGTGGGGGGAAGTGAGGAGGATTTATTACCTGGTTCACAGTAAAGAGAAGGCTGATGAAAATGTGAGAAAATGTTTAAGAAGGAAGTCTTTTTCTGTCTGTTTTTCTTTCAAAGTTTCTTGCAAAACCTTTAATTCTGAATATTGCTAAGATAATCTATGAGGTTGTATCATAATTTTGAGTTTGGTGAGGACAGTTTCTTAAAGACCATGAGGAGGGACACAAGAGGATTTGGAGAAGGAAAGGTTTAGATTTGTGGGCAGCCTGGATGAAGAGATCCTGCAGAGGAACAGGAGAATAGGCGGCTAGAAGCTAATGCTGTTTGAATGTATGTAAGAACAAAATCAAGCAACTCAAAATGAGGTTAGAAAAATCCACAGATAACAAATTTTAAGAAATAATATAGAAGTGCAAAGTAGCAAAAGAAAATGTCATCTTTTTTTTCTTCTTCTTCTTCTTCTTCTTTGAGACAGAGTTTCGCTCTTGTTGCCCAGGCTGGAGGGCAATGGTGCAATTTCAGCTCATCATAACCTCTGCCTCCTGGGTTCAAGCAATTCTCCTGACTCAGCCTCCCGAGTAGCTGGGATTACAGGTGGGCACCACCACGCCCAGTTAATTTTTGTATTTTTATTAGAGATGGGGTTTCACCATGTTGGCCAGGCCTGTCTCAACCTCCTGACCTCAAGTGATCCATGTGGCTCAGCCTCCCAAAGTGCTGGGATGGCAGGCATGAGCCCCCATGCTCTGCCAGAAAACATCTGACATGAAAAATCTGAAGTTCTATAAAAGCCATGGTATCAAAAATAAATGTACTACCATGAACCTCTATTAGAATGAGCGAAAATACTTAAGTGTAAGAAAATTTAAAAACAAAGGCTTTAATTTTGACTTCAGCTCTATTAACTGCCAGGAAGAATTTTTTTGTGTGTATGGAAATAGCAGAAAGAATAAATGTAAGTTTAGTGAATGTTGAGGAATTCAGTGAAGTCGGTGTTAAGCGATGCAAAAGATTTTAATCATATTAGGAGTAAAATACCAAGTTGAAGGATGAAACGTAGTATAGACATTGGAGAAATGATAAGCGATAGAAACAGTGTAGAGAAAGCTTACGAGCCTGCATAGGGGAAGCAGGTAGATCTTGGTGATTCCAGTTCTGACTCAGGCATGCATCCACTCAATGACCTTGGCCAAGGTTATGAATCTTAATTATCTGCCAAATGCAGAAAATAATAGTTTTAACTTTAGAGGATTCTTCTGAGGATGAAATACACCATTGCTTTTTGAGTCCTTAGCACTGTGCATTGTTTAAATGCTTAATTGTTTAATAATGTTTAATAAAAAAAAGCTGGCAAAATAAATGCTGCTGGAGAGGAACAATGTTTGGTTACTTTGAGGGAGAATAAAGAAAAAAGCCAAATGGTTTTTGGTTAGTTCTCCCAGAACAGAGAAGAGAAAGACATTTATGGGGTTGACATAGGAAGGACTGAGTCCTGTGGTTTTGTGATAAGCCAGAGGGTCACGTTTCTGGAATATCTAAAATATCAGTGGATACTGAAATGGAAGGTGAAAAATTTAACAGCATTTGCCCAAAGAACAAAGGATGTGATAGGAAAGTCTACAAAATAGAAAATCTATAAAATAATAAAAAAAGGAATGTAGAAAGTAGGTGGTAAGGAAGAAATTGGGGAAACTCAGAGAAGGATGCATAAGAATGGATTCTCCAAAAAAGCAGCCAAAGAAAGGAGGTGAGAAGTCTTTGCATGGTGTGGCTGAGGCCATTAAGAAGGATGAAGACCCCAGATATTTGCCTGTGTCTAGGGAGAGAGCAGACACAAAGGAGATAGGAGGTTTCTGTGTCCCCTGAACTATGGGTTTTGGTCACCAGCAGATTCACCTGAGAGGTCACCTTCTCTTCTGTCTGATGCTTTTTGTGCATGTGATGTCCACAGCACAGCTGTAACTCAGGTGAAACTATATGTGCACCGATCAGATTCACAAACAACTTTCCAGGCTGGGAATAGTCAGAGAAGGAACTGAAATAGTACTTGCTGGATTTCAATGAGCAAGGATTACTGTCTATTGTCTTCTATTTTTCAAAGTCACTAGAGATTGCAAAATGCAGTGGCTCTCCAGGTTCATAAGAGGTGACAGGGTGAGAGGGAAATGTTTTGGTTTCTTCTCCCAAGAACGATAACCAGGAGAGTTAGAACAGGTGGAATGGCTTTGCTGGCATTGTGTGGTATCAGTTCTATTAGTGAAGGTGCCTGTTGACATAAACAATCGTGTCTTCATGCCATCGCTAGAGTTCAAGTGGAGATGAAGAAGGTAAAGTTCTGAGTGTACACAATTGGAAATATAAATGTTAGCTAGGATTGTATCTAAATAAATTATCAGGAGACTTTTTCCAATTCTCCATCCAGAAGAATAAAAAATTTCAGAAAACTGTTACGTAATAGCTTAGGTTTTACTCTTTGAATTCATTTGTATTGAAGAAATATTAGAATATTGTTTTCCTAACACACAATGTGTAATATCATCTTACACAGCAGTATAATTGAATCTCTTCTCAATGATTCTCTGATAATAAACATGATTATCAGCTGTTCTAAAATACAGTGACATCTTCTTGTGTTTATAGAAGAATAAGTGATACAGAGACCAGAGACTAGAATAAGTTCTACAGACACCAGAGAGAATAAGTGATGGAGAGACGGCTGTGTGTTGTCAGTGGTCTGCTTTGATTTGTAGGCATTTCAATCTTCTCTTTTGCCTTTCTTAACACTCTGCTTTCTTCCCCACTTCTTATTTCTGGGAAATAGCACAACAAAGCTTTAGAATAAAAATAGTTAAGTAGGTCCTGCATGAGGAGCATTAAGTGAAATTTATGAGATTAAGTGAAATTTATTTTGGGTGTGCAGGATCTCTTATTGGGTCTTGTTGAACTCTGGAGAGGTGAATTTGCTCCATGTCTCATTATAGGGGTTATTCTGACTTGTTGGAAGGATTCATTTGCACGGATATAGCTGGAGGCTTCATATTCTACTTTGGTTCTGATTTTTAAAAAAATTATAGGGATTGTTATGCTAGGTAGACAGGATTACATAATCATCTCCTGTTTCAAGAGAAATAACATTTCCTTAAAGCCAGAGAAAAATGTAAATTGGAGCTTTTAGGTTAGATTTTACTGTGTTAGCTCACAGAAGAGAATTCATTTCAACAACCTAATAGCCTAGCAGCACACACATTTTTCTTCTGTCTTATAAAAGGGTTCCATGTGTGGCATTACATTGACGTACAAAACTCTTCTGCATTAAAAGTTACAAATATCATGAGAAAGCTGTTTAGTGGAGGTCAAAGCCCAAGGTTCCATGTAGTTCACTTTTCTCGGTTTAATAGGTACCGGCATTTTGAATTCTCACTTCTGTGTACCTGCGTCCAGGCCAAACTAAATTGAAGTCTAAAAAGACCTTATTGCTACACTGTGGTTCACAGATTAACTAAACCCTGAATAGCACTTGCCATTCTTTGTTCTTTTATGGGCTTTCCTTAAGAAAAAGCAATTGCAAGGTGGATACCGTGTGTTTTCTTATGTGAAAGACTGAATCATGTGAAGGTATAGAGTTTGTATGACTTTTCTAAAGTTTCTTGAGGAACCAGCACCAGTTGAAATGAGACAGCAGGTTCCTAATTGCTCACTGGACACTCTGTCGATCCAGTGCTTACATTGCTACACTGTGTGCTTTTCTCCTCTGCCTATAGTAGCTGGGGATGAACAGAGCTGATTGCCTACTGTACATTATGTAATAAGTACATGTTGCATTGGCATCTGGATGGTTTGCAGAAGGAAATGCATACCTTTCACAAGAAATGAATTGTGAGCTAAGGAAAAAGACGTTTGTCCATTCAACTTTAAGCATTAAAGTTCTCAGTCTAGTCACATTAATGCTTCATCTTATTTCTATTAGTTTTTTTTTTCCCCCTAGTGCTAGTTCAGACTGCCATGGGATGAATTGGGCAAACATTGCAATTTAGATTACTCTGTGGGAAGTGGAGAAACCATTTTGTTTATTTTGTAGTAAAGTAAGCATAATTTTAAAAAAGCCGCTGTAGGCTTTTTTCTCCCACTTTTAATGCCAGTAGAGGTAAAGCAAATTTATAAATTCTTCCTTAGATTTTATACCAGGAAAATGTTTGCCCAAAAAACTGGCTATATTTGATGGAGCTGACTGCTATCTCACTAGAGTTTCTAATGTCTGACAAATAGTTTGATTTTATGATTGTACCCAGAGCTCCTCATCATTACAAAGAAAGTGTATTTTGCTTTTTTTTTTTTCCTTGCTGCCAACAGGATAAACCTCCTTAGCTGCAGCTTGTGGTTTGGAAAAGATTACTATTTTGAAAAACTTTGAATCTTTTCCTAGAGATCAACAGCAATTATGCAACCCCCTGTTAACTGAGTTAGATTGCAAAGCACAAACACAAAATATAAATCCCCCAATTCCAATAGCTAAACAGCTGTGCTAGAAGGCATGTGAATGCATTTATTCCCTCCTGTTTAATTCTTTAGTCATACTTTAGATCCGTGGCAAATCAGCTGGACATTCAGAATGCCATAAGCTTCTGGAAGGATGACCCCCAGGCGATTGCAGGAGTTAGAGGTGTAGATAATCTTACCTCAGGTCCATGTCGCCGTCAACCCAATAGGCCAAGATATTGGAGGCAGTTCCTCCTGGGCAGCATCCCATAATGAGCACCACCACGGCCTGGACGGGGAGGACGTCAAAGGCCACTGACAGGATGAATCCCATGAGGGGCATGATTCCAAACTGACAGAGGAAGCCAACACAGATGCCCCACGGCCGCTTTATGTGTCCTAGAAATTTCTTGACTTCCACGTTGCATCCCATGGAGAACATCACCAGGGCCAACAGGACGGTCAGCACGGTACTCAGGACCACACTTAGAATGTTATTGAAATTGCTCTCAGGTACCACACAGGATGCGCCGGAGCAAACTGTTGCATTGTCCACACAGATGTTCCGGTAACTCATTGCTGGGACTGCTTCTCAACAGGCTGGGTCCACAGAAGTGCTGGTCCCTGGGCCCTGGCTCTGCTGCCAGTTGAGATAAGCAGTGTTTACTTCCACCCCATCAAACTTTTAAAGCCCTCCTAAAAATATGTCACTTGGTGTCTCTTTTGAAAGCCACCTTAGGGAAGTAATAAAAAACAATAAATGCTAGTATGTCAGTTTCGAGAGGTAACATTACAACACAGAACACATTGTGGATCATAAACATTCAGCGAAATTATTGGTCAAGACAGAGAGTTAAGATTAATCATTTATTGGCATGATAATGAACCATGCCATATAAAAAGAGCCATGTTAATGTTTAATGCCACGAAGGTTTGTTGCATAATTTCAGTTAAGTGACACTTAAAATCAACTCGGCTTAGTGCAGAATCTTATAGGGATTGAGTCATAGGAACGCATATTGTTCTCACATTTCCCTGTAAATAGACGGATTTAGGGTCCTGAATCTTTGAGTGCCCTGTCCCAAATTATATTGCAAATTAGATGTCAGACTGTGAACTGCGACCCAGATCTCCAATTTCCTCCCCCAATAGTTTTGCTACTGTATCAGTGTTTCCTGGAATTGCTCTGTAGTGTCCATAAAGTATAGGGAAGTTTGAGAAACTTCTGGGGCCTTGGTGCAAATCTGAGATAGTAATATTTGGGAGGACAGAATGTTTTCTGGTGGAAAGGATCTGACTTGTACAGCCACCCTCAATTACTCACACATGCAATTATCTGTGCGTTGTCATAGTAACAGAGTGCTTTATAGATGGAGACAATACAATTATTTAGAGGGATGAACCTCAGAGGATTAGGTCAAAGTGACAGGATCTCTTTGTGCTTGGAGTCATAAATAGAGATTAGATTTTTTTTTTTTTTTTGGCGGAGGGATTCCAAGGGAGTTTTGTGTAAATGTCAAATAGTTGACCTCATTATGGGCAGAACGCTGTATTTTGGGGTATAGGGAAGATAAAGAAAGAGGTAGAGAAGAGATTGTCCTGTTTTCAGGAGTTTATAACCCAGTTGTGTCAGGAGTTCATAAGCCAATTGACACAGCAAAAGAAAAAAAATTGAATATTTCGATTATGATTCACAAATTATAGGACAAGTTGTAATTTATTCATCAACTTAATAATCTTAAATTAAGTGGGATTAGCACCCCCATTTTACAGATGAGGATTTAAGGGTTGAGAGAATGGAGTGCTTTAGATAAGGCTAACGGGAAATGAGAGAACAATTTTCTTTCCTGTGGCTCATATCTGGAAATACTGGAACCCAGCTTTCTGATTATGGTCAGAAAACAGTTGGTTTGGCTTGCTGGGGATTGGAGTAATATCTTAGAAGAGAGCTTCTGAAACTCGGTGTGAACGGGATTCCCCCGGAGGCCTTGTTAAAATGCAGATTCTGATTCTGGAAGTCTAGGATGAGTCTTCTTTCTGGCAAGCTTGTAGTCGATGGTGATGACACTGATCTGCTGTCACACTTTTAGTATCACGGCCTCAGGATATCATGGTGACAACAGTTGTACCCATGCTGGTGACAATGGAACTTATGGTTACAACTGAAAGCAGCTTTTGCAGAGAAACTCAATATAGGAAAATTAACCTTTTATACAGCTTGAGAAAATGTGAGCTGTGGCTAGAATGGGCCACTGAGCAAAAAGCTAATAGAGGGAAATGTCCAAGCCGCTGGTGGCAGGTGATGGCGGTGATGGGGGCTAGGGATCGAGCTACTGGGAAAAACCTGAGCCTTTTCCTTCCAGGGAAACCACGATTTATACTTGTTGATGTGGCTCCTGGCCCAGGAGAGAATCTTCGAGTTGCCAGGTCTCACTACCTGCCTTTTCTAGCACAAGTGGGCTGCCATTAGTTCTGGACTGGCTGCCTGCCAATTCCTGGGAGAGCCTCTGCCTTTCCTACCTCCTTCCCCACCTTAACAGCTAAATGATAAGCCAGGTAATTCCCAAAGAGGCCTCCCCTCCCTCTCCTAGATGTGTCATGACTTGGCCCTACCCTGCTGGTCTCTCCAAGCATCTCCTGGGACTGACCTCTGGTCTACTTCTGTCGGAAGCTGGCCCTCCCCAGGGCAGATGAGCCAAGTGCACTCCCTGCTGCCACACCTGAGCACCTGCACCTGAGCACCTGTGGCTGGCTCTTCCCCCTCACCGCACCCCACCCCGAAAACTGATTAAGGCAGATGTCCATTCAGTGTTGATCAGTTTACAGTCTCTCCTCTCCACATTCTCTTAACCTCAAACATTAGGTGAAGGGCAGAAAGCTAGCCCAGGATTGAACGGCAAATAGCCTCTTTGCCAGGTCTGATCTGCAAAGGAAAATTTGAGCCCTGCAGGTGGGAAGGATTTGGATTCTGAAATTTCTCTTAAAGTTGGAAGGCTGCAGTGCCAGGCCCAATGCACAGGGCTCAAGACAAGAATATTCAGACACCCTCCTTTGAACTCAAATGGGGTTCCCAGGGCAGGCCTCCTATTTTGGGCGAGGGTTGTGGCTGGGCTGGCCAGGTGTCATCCATGCTTAGGCTTTTTGCCCACACGGCTAGAAGCAGGGAAGAAAAGTGAAGAGAGCGGAAAGCAGGTTCAGAACAAAGCTAGTCTCAAATTTCAGATGACTTGCTAAGGAGATTTTAGGCTCCCAGGGGCAGAATGCTTTGCATATAGACAACTTGCAAATGAGCAGTCTGTTTGACTAGACAGAGTGCTACAGTTCTGCTTATAAAAAAGTGCCAATGCATTTTTAATTTTCACATTGTTTTTACATAAATTTGCACATTGGGCTCGAGAGGTTTTACAGTCAAGTACTGGAATGATTCACAATTAATTAATACACTTAACTTCAGCTATATTCAAATCCAGACACTGACAGTATCTAAATATATAAAAATCATTCTCTTTAATTGTAACACGGAGTTGGGAACAGATGCACACCTGAGAGGAGTAGTCAGGAGGCTGGGGCTTGATTTTCATTGTCATCCTTCTCAGTCATTTCTGCACCATTTCATCACACTCTGCGCATGCAGGCCACCCTGCAAGAAACCAGGAGCCGATTCCTGCTTCTGGCCGCCTGGGTGCAGACATGAGAATTGTGGTTTAATTTGACATCCCAGGCTTCCCTTTGGTTTCTGTATATCAATTGGAGGACGCCAGGGTTTAATAGCTTTCTATCATGTTTGCCCTGAAGTTCACATGATAAAAGATGAGCTTTCTATCTTCTGTTGTGTTTCATCAGAAATGGCTCTATTCAGATCAATGGCCGTCTCGGATTTGAGTGATTCTGTTAAGCGCTTTCCTGTGACTGAGGTTGTCCCCCTCTCTCTCCTCTCTAGTTCCTTCCTACAGACTGATCTTTTATGGAACCTGAAAGTTCCACAGTTAGAGCTCTTTGGAGTTACCAGACCTTCTTTAAGACAAAAAGGTACTCTGGGGAGAATGGCCTGCGAATGACTGACTCTTCACTCTTGAGGGATTGGAGGAAAAAGGCAGCATAGTATTGAGGAGAGAAAGCAGGATAGAAGAACCTGGAGTCTACTGGATGGAAAATGCACTGGGCTTGGAGTCAGAACTGGGTTCTAGATCTGCTTCTTTTGAAAATACTGTTCAGGCTATTAAGGTTTTTATGAATGAATGTGAATCCTTATGAAACGTCTGTAGGATGGTCCCACCACTTTGGAAAATGATTATAGCTGAATATCCACATGTCCTCTGACCCAGTCATTCCAGCCCTTGAGAAGAGGTCATGAGAGAAGAAGGCTGGGAGTAAAGATGGAAGAATTTGGGGGACATACAGCTAGGAAGTGCATAGGTGGATGGATAGTTCACCTTTGAGGGACTGTGTTAAGGAAAAAAACTCTTCCTGAGTCCACAAGGGATGTGGTTTCAAAGGCAGAAATATCCCAGCACCATGCCTCCATCCATGCCCGCATCAGAGAATGTAAAGTTCTATGTCTAAGTTTCCCAAGCTCGGGCTAGGTAGAAATTCCAGGTGAGCATCTTTGTTCAAAAAGCCCACCAAAAGCTCTGGGAGGAGGGCGCACTATTGTGGGCCAGGCAGCCAATCCAGGTTCAGAGTCTAAGATCAATCACCCCAGAGGAAGTTTGAAAGAACTCCTCTCATTGGACAAGAACATGAATGAGGCAGGAGTAACTCCAGGGTGAAAACTCCACGGCTCCTCACGTGGATCCCCTTCCATGGCAGCGTGGGAACTGTCTCTCCTTCTCTCTCTTTCTCTCTCTCTGCCTAATAAATCGCTCTCTGCCAACTCTCTGCCTAATCGCTTTCTGAAAAACTCTTTGGGTCCACGATATTTATCGAAGCTCAACGTAACTCCCAGGGACCCTTCCCCCATTCTTGGGGTCAGAGAGGCCAAGGACCTGGGCACGTCGGGGAAAACATTGCAATGGGGAGGGAGCTGAGTGGCCCCCATTCCGATCAGGAAACTGGTGCTGCTGCTCCCATCCTGGCTACACCTTCAGCATTTTAGCAAGGGTTGGCTCTGTTAATCATCGTATGTCTTACTTATTTTGTTATTGTTGTCAAACGTTTTCTAAATATCTGAAAACATTAAACTCTCTGAACCTATAATTAAATACTTTTTGGTTAATCATTCCTAGATAAACCTTCAAGCAAATCCTCTTCACAGACCGCAACTTTTGCACGCTTTCTGGTTCACTAGTAACAGGAAATCTCAAAGTAGAAAATTAATCAATGAATTTTGCCAATAGCTCCTGTTGTCTCTTGCAGGCATGACAAAGGTTTTGTTACGCACATTTTTGTCTTTGCTTTCAGAATGTGGATGAATACCGAATTCCTGTAAATTCATGACCTTGCGGTGGCTGATTGTATTATTGCTCTCAGTTAATTGCTTCCTACTCCTCCGTAATGAGATTCTACAGCCACACCTGTTGAGACGGACTTGCAGTGATTCTCTGTTGAAGGAGTAGCCGCTTTATTTATTTTTTGTCTTTTTTTGTGGGGTAGGGGACTGAATCTTGCTCTGTCACCCAGGCCGGAGTGCAGTGGTGTGATCACAGCTCACTGTAGCCTCCATTGCCCAGGCTCAAGCAATTCTCCCACCTCACTCTCTCTACTAGCCGGGACCACAGGCATGCACTATCATGCCTGACTAACTTTTTAATTTTTTGTAAAGATGAGCGGGGGTGGGATGGGTTTGGAGGGTGTGCTGGAGAGAGTCTCACTATATTGCCCAGAGTGATCTCAAACTCCTGGGCTGGAGCAATCCTCTCACCTTGGCTTCCTAAAGTTCTGGGATTATAGGCACCGGCCACCACACCTGCCCAGAATAGCCAATTGTCAAGCATTAGTGTTAAACCATGGGATTGCTTTGGCCAAGTAAGTTATAGTGGTAGCAATGGGTATGCTGCTTCCAGGGAGAAACTCCT